TTTGACTAGGCAAGGAACAATATTTTTTACTTATGTGGGTAGTCAGTGGGTTTCTATGAAATAGTGAGTTCTGATGGATCTGAATGAACAGAAAAATTGATGGTAGTGCTACAATGATGCTGTAACCACGACTGTCCAGGAATTGAGAGGCATAATGGATTTCTTAGGATGATATCATGAACAATTAAGTGGGTGAGCTAGGGTTAAGAACAGGGCTTATCACAGTAATTTAGCAGCTGTTTCACTTTGGAATAAGCCACTCCTAAGACAGAGCAGACACAAAGTAATCACTGCAGATCAACTGGTGCTTGGCAATTCATTCTCCCCTCCCCTTGAAGTAGTCGCATTGATTTATCTGTCCATGCCCAAAGTACACACAGATTCAAAGAGAACTGGGGTGGGCAGGGACAGACAGGCAAAGAACGGATATCCTCTAAAAATACATGAACAGTGTTAACTTTAACAGGGTAACCTTTGTACTCAGTCTACCTTTTTTTCCCTTCGAACTCACCATTTTTAATTGTTATCTCCATCAACATGTCCAACATCCGTGTTGAAACATAACAGTCTGAATGAACTGACATCATCTGTCAAAAAAAGAGAAGATATGAATCATAAACCAAGCTACATATTGGGTAAACTGAAGTATTAAAATAATCCAAATCCTTATTAAACAATAGAACTGAGTAACAGGCAATAAATGTCAAAGTCTCCAAAGAAAGTCACAGCACGAAGTGTGCGTATTCTGGATAGTCAGGAACTGAAGTCAGGCCTTTTAGTTGAAGAAGGGCAGAGACGCACAAAAGTGAAATGCTAATAAATGATACTGATAAAGGCTGTTGAAATGCAACCGTTGTATCCCAACAGAGTCATGCAAGTAAGTATAGCAGGAAAGAAGTTAACCTTTGTGTAGGCCCCAGAAAGGCCTCTGAGAAGCCCAGCAGCCTTCAGGCCTAGGTTTTGATCTTTGCACTTAGCATAATCTGCAAACAACTGCCGATTTGGCATAAGTAACAAGGACTTGAAAAGTGTTGCGTCTTTGACCAAGACCTGCTTCTAGAAGAAGAGGGGAAGTCTGGAAATACTTTCTCCAGGTAACCATAACCAAACTAAGAAGTTAGCCAACTAAAATAAGGAAATCTGGCTTGGGAAGAGAAGAACAAATCAATTGCAAAAAAAACTTACCCTCACCTAAGAATGAAAAGATTAATTAGAATTTTCCATTCTAAGGTAAAGTTAACCATATATAGCAAGTGGAAGCAAACTTATTGATATGCATTAAGGAAGGCTTAAGCTAATTATGTATTAAGAAATGCAAACTATATAGTATAGAAGATGAAGTAGGAGAGGCTGCCTCTTGGGACACTCCCAAAAGATTAGCCGAACACCAACCTAACATTCTACCCTGTGCAGAACTTGGATGTAGGAACCGAGAGCCCCGGGCAAGACCTCATGGCCTGATCAACCAGTGATGTTGTGTTGGTTATGTCTCGGGGTGGTGAGCACACTGTATTGCTTTTGACTAACTACAATTAATAGAACTGTAACTGCTGAGGTTATTTTGCTTTTGATTCAGAGTTCTCTCTGTTGGGATTTATTAAACTTGCTTATAGTTAAAAATAACTGTGCCTTAGTCTCCATAACTTATACAAAAGCCATAGTAACATCAGTGGACTAACATGGTAGCAAATAATTCTGGAGTACAGTTAATTGCCTTTCTTCTTAAGATACACAGGACTGTCAGTGTCTGAAGAACAGTCATTTTGGAGACTCTTTCTGGAGACATTTTTCAGAATGTCTCCAGAAAGAAAGAGTCATTCTGGAGACAAGGGCAAGGATTCACATCCTTACAGCAAGAAATACTGGGAACTAAGATGTCCCCTGTGTGATTAAGTGGGCTGCATTTAGTCAAAAGAGCCTGTGAAATTAGAATTACAGCCAGGTCCCAGACCAGTCTGAGTAGACGCAGTCTAAGAAATGCAGATAAGGCCAGAGACTTTGAGGGCTGTACTTTGATCATGCTGTTAGGCCTGATATATAATGCAGTGAAGCCTGAGTCCAAGGTATGCTGTACATTGGCCAATGCCTGACTTCCCATAGATGATCATATCTTGATATCTAAGGAGTTTTGTCTGTATTCTTGCAGGAATTGAAGAGGACAGAACGCAACTGAAAAGCACTGAAGGAAAGCCAAGACAGCATGCATTCTTAGTATTTGCTGCTCAACAGCAAGCTGCCAGTTTAAGTAATTGGCAGCAGAATAGACCCTGGGATGCAGTAGGCTGAAGCTGCACAACACCTCAAATAGTGAAGAGCCACAATAACATTGGCCAGTCTCAGGTGATAAGATGGCAGCTGCTTCTTCCATTCTGCACTCGAGTCATATTCTAGCATTTGCAGGGGAAAGATGAAAGAAAAAGGACCAGAGAGCTTCTTAATCACAATCCCACAACTAAAGCATGTCAACATGAAGCAACTATAGGTGCTTTCTGGCACTCCAAAGGTATAATCCTTAATGACAAGTGTCCAGATGAACACAGACTCCTCAAGTCTGGCAGCTATGACTACAATACCTTCAGAAACATCCTAAGGAAGAAAAAACTCAGTTTTCTGTAAAGGTAGCAATGCTTACTCAAGCCAAAAAAATGAAATGACAGGGCTGAACGAGGGTATTGGGGAAAAGCTTCTCCCAGATGCACCTATTTCTAAGCCAGCTTGAATTTTTACTAGTTCGGGTACAATCCATATACTTCATGGTATGGGATAAATTAGAAAATATGATATAGATTCATAGATGTTAGGGTCGGAAGGGACCTTAATAGATCATCAAGTCCAACCTGCTGCATAGGCAGGAAAGGAGTGCTGGGTTCAGATGGCCCCAGCTAGATGCCCATCCAACCTCCTCTTGAAGACCCCAGGGTAGGGGAGAGCACTACCTCCCTTGGGAGCCCAGTCCAGATTTTGGCCACTCTAACTGTGAAGAAGTTCCTCCTAATGTCCAGTCTAAATCTGCTCTCTGCTAGCTTATGGCCATTATTTCTTGTAACCCCCAGGGGCACCTTGGTGAGCAGAGCCTCACCAATTCCCTTATATGTCCCCATGATGAATTTATAGGCAGCCACAAGGCGCCTCTCACCCTTCTCTTGCGGAGGCTGAAAAGGTCCAGGTGCCCTAGTCTCGCCTCATAGGGCTTGGCCTGCAAGCCCTTAACCATATGAGTGGCCCTCCTCTGGACCCTCTCCAGGTTATCCACATCCCTCTTGGAGTGTGGTGCCCAAAACTGCACACAGTATTCCAACTGCGGTCTGACCAGTGCCCGATAGAGGGGAAGTATCACCTCCTTGGTTCTATTTGTCATGCATCTGCTGATGCATGATAAAGTGAAGTTAGCTTTGCTGATGACTTCATCACACTGACAACTCACGTTCATCCTGGAGTCCACTAGGACTCAGAGATCCCTTTCTGCTTCCATGCTACCGAGCAGGTAATTTCCTAAGCAGTAGGTGTGCTGGACATTTTTCCTCCCTAGGTGCAGCACTTTGTATTTCTCCTTGTTAGATTGCATTCTATTGTTTTCTGCCCATTTGTCCAACTTGTCCAAATCTGCCTGTAGTTGTTCCCTGCCCTCCAGTGTGTCCTTCAGGATAGCTTAATGTGTCTTAGCCTTTTAAGGCCTAAATGAGCATGGAGCTCCAGGGAACATCTATAATGCACAGCTCTTCTTCCCATGTGTCTGAAGTTTACTGCATCCATGCGCTCTGGAAGCTAGATATTCTATTTGAAGCGATATTTCAGGAAGGAAAAAAAACATCTCTGCAGAGGAGTACTGGGGAGACTGCAACTCATGATGTTGGCTCAGGTAAGAAGAAGTAGCAGCCCTTATGTGCTATCCAGAGTCTGAGGACCTTCACCAACAAAATGAGGTCCTACAGGACGGAAGCAGTTGGAGCAGAGCTCCCCTTCTACTGGTATAGACAGAAAATATGTAGACATTCACTCTTAGGAGAGAGACTTCTGGGAGCAATTTGACCTTGGTTCTTCTCAGGTTATTTTAATCCTAGAGCTGCTATTTTTGCTGGGGAAGAAAATTCCTGAACATCTGTACACTCATGGTTTCTCCTGGGAGAACACTTCACTCAGAGTCTCTCTCTCTCTCTGGCCTGCTCTGCTTTGATGGAGAAGGAAGATCAAAACAGCCTAGCACAAGGTCCTACCTGACAGAAAGAAAAACAAAGAATTTGGTAAAGAGGAACAAGATAAGAGAAAGATTAAGCTTAGGTGCTGCCCTCAAAATACAGATTTAAGAGAGTCTAAGGTTATAAAGGATAAGGTAGAACTGCTACTCTACAGTGATGAGGGAGGTGCAGGGATGGAGGAGGAATGGGTAAAGCCCTGGAGCCCACAGACAGGTCTCAGCCATCTTAGGAGTCTGCAGGAGGTGAGGTGCAGGCCAAATATTTCAAGAACAAGTCAGGACCCAGAAAGAGAAAGATTTCTAGTTTTGAAGCCAAATTCTATTAGGAATAGGCTCCCAAGGTTGTTCTAGCTTTGACATTTGCACTACATTTGGCTATCCAAGTAAACAAATACCCTAATGCAGTATAATTGTCAAATAATAATACATCTTATACAGTCTTACCTGAAACAGCCACTTTAAAACTGGCATGGGGCACTGAGTACAACTGTAAGCAGAACTGAGGAAACCCTGAGTTGTTAAAGAAAGCTGCTGTCTTACTTCAGAGCTACAGAAAATAAAGGGGAGGGACGAGAAAAAAAAAAAAAAATCACCAAAAACAAACCACAAAGAGGAATCAGTTTGGGGACAAAATGAACACAATCACTGCAAAGCTACAAAAACGTTTTTTTTTTTTTAAGACCTCAGTTAACTGGAAAAGATTATTGCAACTAAAATGAATTAATTTCTCTACTTTCCCAACGAGTAACAAAATCTACTGCAGTGACTACACCTCATTAATGACAAAGTTTTCCTAGGCAAATGGCAAAGACAGAGCAATTACTCTTGTCTCTAGAGTATCATACTATACAAATTGGAAGCGTTTATACAATCAAAGAATAATCTGCTTTCAAATATGCACTTATCTTCGTTAAAGGCATAACTGCTGAACACATTACAATACTAAAGCATTACTTTTTAAAAGATGTTCTACTGATACTAATTACATGGTCAGAATGTCTACGCTCACTTATTATTCTTGTTTAAATAAAACATATGCATTGCCATGCTGAAGCAGATGAATGTTCAGTCTAGCTCCTTAAGAGATAAACAAGAGAAAACTCTAATATAATCAGCATGCAGATGAAATTTATTCCTAAAAATTTAATTAAAGTTTGTGTGCCTCGAAATGCTTACAGTGCTTCTAAAAAGCGATTAAAGGGGTTAGCATTTTTAAGTACAACTTCCATCTAAGCATACTTTTGAGTTTCCAAATGCATTAGCCATTATGAAGTTTTCCAGTCAAGACAACATAGTGAAGGAAAAAAACTCTCACCTAAGGAGGAGTTTTTCTATAGGATTTTGAGAGTTGAATCCAAAATTCCTCAAGTCAAGGTTACGCTGATTGAAGATTCTTCCAGAGTTTGAGAAGTGAAATATCTCTTCCCCAGGGTGGTAATCAGGAATGGCATCAGTTATTACTGAAAATCTCTGTAAAAATGCCCTGCAACATGCACAATATTTTCCTTGTAGATTTTGATAACTAGAAGATATTTCCCATTTATGAGACAATTTTATATTTGGCTGATGAACAAGGCAACCTTATCCAAAAGGTTTATTCAGCTCAGAATACATTTATTGCCAGGTAAATGTGCACGAGCTTGAAGTTAAAGGAATAACTTGCTGGTAAAACAACAAGTGACAAAAATAGCTTAAAGCAGCATCATTAATAGCATTACATTAACGGTGAGAGAAAAAAGGAGAGAGAGAGAGAAAGTGAAGAACAAGTTCAAGTGATCTGAAAAAAGAAGAAAAATAGACACCTGTGCTCTTCTGAAAGGTCTCCATCTTCTTGGGTGCTTTCATCCTCTACTTCAACTGAAGAACTTACTTCTGTTCGCTGAATGTCTTTCTGTAGCTGCTTCTCCAATTCATCTACCCTGCAGTGGAGGTAAAGACATACTGGCAATAGAGAACAGGACAAGCTAAAATCCAGATCTGAATTCTAACCCAGAAATGCCAGAGCTGACTGTAAAGTATCACAGGGACCACAACATAAGATGCCCATACTGAATATGCTCCTCCTGGGTGCATCCATTTGAGACCTAACTTTTGATAATAGCTATTGTAATCAATTTTAGTATCCTTGAAAGTATTCTGCATTATTCAGACTAAACATTCCTGATGTAACTTAACCAGAAAAAAACAATGCAAAGGAACTGACTGGGGTCATTGCAAGTCCCCTGGCATGGCTTTATGAACACTCGTGGTGCTCTGGAGTGGTGCCGGAAGATTGAAAGAGGGCCAACGTGGTTCCCATCTTCAAAAAGGGGAGGAAAGAGGACCCCGGGAACTACAGGCCAGTTAGTCTTACCTCGATCCTGGGCAAGCTGTTCAAGAAAATTATTCTGGCACACATCCAGGAGGGGCCAGCAGGGAACGGCATGCTCAGGGGCAACCAGCACGGGTTCATCAGCGGCAGGTCCTGTCAGACCAACCTGGTGGCCTTTTACGACCAGGTCACTAAATCATTGGATGCAGGGGTGGCAGTGGATATAGTTTTCCT